TTGATTTGATAATCATAAACGATGAAAGCTCAATATTTTTCGTGTCTTTCTCTCTCTCTCTCTCTCTCTCTCTCTCTCTCTCTCTCTCTCTCTCTCTCTCTCTCTCTCTATCTCTATCTCCTCCCTCTCTCTCTGTCACACTCTCTTTCGTATCTAAGCGCGTAGAGACATTATGTAATATGCGCTATATAGAATTGAACATTATTATTGTTATATAAGCAGCATCATCACGAAGAAAGGATATTGATCATAGAACAAACCGAGTATGGTTTCATCCTTATCAATAAGCATCTGTTCCCACGCCTGATTGAAACTTGGAGTAAAATTAATGGACTCCTGAGGAGTTAATGTGGGATACAGAACTACGAGTATACAATGAAAACAAACATGTAGGCATGGGTAGTGATATATAGAGTTTCTGATCTTATCACGCTAATTGGAATGAAATCGATTGAAGAAGATTAGTGGCGTATCCAGTTTTAGGAAAAGCTGGCGTAGCCCCGCCCCTCTTTTCTAGAGGCCAGTGTAAGCATTCAGGTTGCGACGATGTAACGATAAGAGGGGCTGCCCATATTGAACCCCATTTGAATTTGAATTGGTATGGGTCTGCTACAGGCGGAGCTGTATAAATTGAATTACGCCCATCTCACCCCATGAAGATTCTGCCCCTCCTGTTTATCAATATCTTAATATGCCACTGAAGATCCTATATGATTGTGTTAATTAGGATGCAATTATTTGTCTATTAGCTGAGTTCAGTCAAATTTACCTACAAGATTGTTATGGTTTGTTCAGCAGCACTTTGAATTCTAGCTCGGCATGCAGCCCAGTGCACTTTGATCAAACGAACGAGGTACCAATATCTGAGCAATATCCCTCTCATCATCTTTCTCCAATCTTCATGATTTTCTACCTCCATCCTTGCTCTTTTATCTTTCATATCGTTCATTTTCAAAATGTTGTAAACCAACGATGATGTATATGGTTATGGTGATAGATAAATGATAAGCCAATAAAATATCAAAGGCACCCCCGCGTTAACGTCATGGTAGAACTTCCTGGATTGAGATTAGCAACATTATTACATATTGCACATATGCTAATTAGATGATTATGCTAATATGCATGGCTATTAAAAAAGTTGCTCAAGGTTGCCAAGCTGGCAACCAAGCTGAATTTACTTCAATACCCATCTAGAACACAAATCAACAACAAAACCTTGTACTTATCAACTTTTCCAGGTCATGTACATGGCATATGGTACCGTCTACTGGACTAGTACATAGGATGGTAGTAGAGGTACAATGATGGAAGAATGGGTAAGGTGGTGCTAGTAGAGGTATGATGTGAGTAGAGGTAGATGGGAAGGATTTGCAGGGTAGTAATAGAGGTAGGATTGTGGAAAAGGTAGGATAGTAGTAGAGGTAGGATGGAAGAACGGGTAGGGTGGGGTAGACGAAGGATGGTAGTAGGGGTAGGATTGAAGAATGGGTAGGGTGGGGTAGACGAAGGATGGTAGTAGGGGTAGGATTGAAGAACGGGTAGGGTGGGGTAGACGTAGGATGGTAGTAGAGGCCCGAGTAGAGGTAGGATTGAAGAACGGGTAGGGTGGGGTAGACGTAGGATGGTGGCAGAGGTAGGATGGAAGAACGGGTAGGGTGGGGTAGACGTAGGATGGTGGCAGAGGTAGGATGGTGATGGTAATAGAGGGAGGGTAGTGGTAGAGGTAGGATGGTAGCAGAGCCAGATTTAAAGAACGGGAAGGGTGGGGTAGAGGTATGAAGGTGGTAGAGGTAGGATGTTCAGAATCATTTAGGTTGTAGAGTGGAAGAGATAAAATGGTAGTAGATCCAGGATGGAAGTAGAGGTAGGGTGGTAGCAGAGATATAGGGTGGTGGTAGTAAAAGTACTAGAGTCAATATGGTTCTGGAGTCAATATGATTCTGGAGGCCATTGTTCTAGAGGAATATGGTTCTAGAGGCAATATGGTACTAGAAGGAGGATCTGTGGTGGAGGTTGGGTTGGTGTTTAGGGGCGCTATTAGAGGTAGGGTGGTATTAGAGGTAGGGGTAGTAGAGGTAGGATGGTAGAAGAGGTAGGATGGTAGAAACAGGATGGTTGTAGGTAGAACAATAGTTGAATTCGAAGTATGACCGTAGTGGGAAAAGGGTATGAGATGTAGGAAGGTAGCAGAAGAAGGACTAACACATAAACATACACGCACTCATTATAAATATCTTTAAAATGTTCGAAAAGCTCATTTTATTGGAAAAAAACATGACAGTAGAAAGTATATCAGAATTTCATTTTATCTTTCAGCAGTATTTTATGTATTACATCACGAAATGAATAATAATGACAAAGCATTTTCTATATTTGTGAAATACATTTAGATTTTTTTGGCCTCATAAAATTAGTTATTCAATCATAAGAGTTGTACAAATTTTTACACTATTGCAATATGTCAGTTGAAAATAACAAAATATTTTACTAATTATGCATATATTACATTTGCATTTTCTGGAGTTTCAATGACATTTACATTGTTCACAAACAAATGGTGTCAGTAAATAGTATATATGCTTCAATAAATCGCAGATATGAGTATTGTATTGAGAAACAAACAATGATATTACCCAGGGGCGTCAATCCTAAGGGTAGCAACTTATTTCAGACGTGGCTGTCTATAGAACAAAATAATGCAATGTTTTCCCCAATAATGGATTGGCGCCCCTACCCACACCGACGTGACTGGAGATGTCGTGGAGACATTTCTTGAATGTCTCCTCTTGCCATCAACCCTGTCATGTGGGTCCTACATAGCACAGCACGTGCAGTTACCATGGTTACAGGTGGCAAGTAGATTATACCTTGATACACTATCATGCAATAGTACAGATATTGGATGAATGTTGGACAAAATGAACTTTATTATGCCATAATCATCCTAGTACCAATTGGAAATGATCCTCAAGATTGTGGAACTCAAAATCAAATTCTTGTATCATCAACCGACCTTGATAGGATGAGGATTTAACTATTGATGAAATTAGAAGGGGGTATAGTTATGATGGGGGAAGGTAATGATATTCCTCATGTGATTCTTTGCCCCTCCCATATGAGTCGAAGGTGGTATATTTGGGAGGTACTTCATTGCCCCTCCCATATAGTATAATAATGGGAGGAGCCCATCAATGTAGGAGCACTGCTTATATACGCCACTAGCTAGGCTCCTCCCTGTCACTGTATAATTATGCATGGGTATGCAGGGGAGGGACCCATTTGAAGATGACGTTCTGTGTTTGATTGAAGCTCCTCCCTATCTGTTGTGTTAAGGGAGGGGTAAATTCTAACACATTTTTTCTTTTTTATCATCTATTGGCTCAGGCTTGGGGTATTCCCTACCACTGTCTACCAAGGCAGGAACTCTCAAAGATCATGGAGAATAGAACTGAACGGATAAAGCTTGTAAAATCAGTGCGAGTACGCTCGACCTAGTAGTAGTTTTCATCTGGGCGTAGACCCCTTTGAAAAACAATTCAATAGCTAACCAGGGCAATACACCCCATGAGTGCATATAGAATAAATAAATTTAAGAAAAATATAACATAAACTGATATATTTCATGAATGGATTATGACTAAATTATCGTTAAAATGTATAATACTAGAATAACAAGATTAATGAATAATAAATAATTATTTTGTTAATACCCAGGGATGCCACATCAGCATCAATGCTGTTCTTCTTGTGGGTCCTGCAAATACCATCTTGCACCCCAGCAATCATGATAGCCAGGTAGTAGGTAACCATTTACTCCTGGGTGGAGTGTGGGAAATGTAGATCAGTGTCTTGTCAATTAAAGGACATTAGTATAGGCTTGGAATTTCAACCTTCAATCATAGAGTTGAGATTCAAGTGAATGAACCACTATACCACTACACCTCCACGTTCCTAACATACACAAAATATAACTGGATGAAATAGTATAAAAATAATGTCTCAGTTCTCCCCGATAGGGTAAGAAAAACATGATATACACCCAAAATACCAATTTTAAGATTTAGCTTACACCATAAGAAATATTATCGCAAAATATTGGGTCATATATATTCTGTGTGTAGTGTTCAGAACACTAAGTGGTAGGCTACACTGGTAAAACCTTTGAGAGTGAACGCCGAAAAATAGGGGGGGCGGGGCCGGAATCGTAAAAAATAGGTGATGATTAAAGTACACTATGGTATAACTGTAAATGTATTTAGAAAAAAACATAACAGTTTTAAAAGTTAGTTGGATTGAAACTAAATCAATCTTTAAATTTATTTATACATTTATATACTCATTTTTTTTTAGTTAGATGAGGTATCCCACTTCTGCAGCGTCCCATCTCAACATCCTCTTTAGATTTGCACGACTACATAGTGGACTGTTACGTTTGACGTCCTTATAAGGCACTTCCAGTGCCTTATACATCGCAGTGCCTTATAAGGATGTCACACGTAGCAGTCCACTATGTCGTCGTGCGAATCTAAAAGTCCCTTATATGGGCCTGTGAAAAAACGAGGTATTTCATGTGCATATCATTTGACAGGAATTGCCCCCAGCATGTGAATAATTTTGACAAATAAAAACAAATGCATTGGAACTGCGACCATCAGTTAGTGCGCCTGCATAATTATGTCCTAACTTTCGTCGCTTTTAAAAAAATTTTTTTTTTAATTTCTAATATCAACCCAAATATAACAACATAAATACAAAATATCAAACATTCTTTGTTTGTTTTAAATGATATTTTATTTCCTTCCTCATAATTTCACATAACAAGAAATTATCACAATAAGTAATATAATTCAAGATCTTTGATACAAGACACTTATGAATTACATCAATCACGGAACAACATAGAAAAAATCTCAGATTATACATGATTCTACTTTTTCTTTTCTCGCATGTAACAGTGTATAATCAAAATCCCTATGAATTTTCGTTATAGCGCCATCTGTGGTATGCAGCAGATATTCAAAATTGAGAAACATGGCCAAACATCATCCTGACCTTATTTTTTGTCGTAAACAGCCTGGTGTCGGTAAGTCGTTCTTACGTTTAACACCTTATTTACGTTTCATTGCAAAATAAGTTTAGTAACGATGTAATCAATTTGAAATACTTCTTGAAATTGCAGGATGAACCAGAAATAGAAACGTAAGTCTATCGTTGGAAATTTGTCTTCAGTCCGATCCCCTTATTTTGATGTGTGTTAATTCTGCTACTAATCTTACTTCCAAAACAAAAGCACACTAGCCACGCGCACCCAGAACCAGGGAAATTTTTTAAAAATCATTTCGGGGGCTACTTTTCGAGCTTGCTTGCATGAAAATAATATTCTTTAATTTGTTTTGCATTGAACTCTTTGCAATTTTTTTGTGCTCTTTTAAGTTTTATGACTTTCGGGGCTCTTTTTGGCATTTAATTTCTGGAGCTAATTTGCCCCGATCCCCCGTGTATTTTTTTCCCTGCGCAAAACTTAAGCTTACATTTAACGCATCTGATCTCAGCAAATTGCAGAGTAATTTTACTTAATTGGCGCCGACAAGGGCCCTTCTTATTGGCTATCGCTGGCTCCCATTCACTCAATGTTTGTGGGAGGAGAAAGCTTGCGATTTTCCGTACGGTGATACTAAAATTATGATATTTCAGTCAAACCCTCTAGACTAGGCCTATTATTTCTTATCATTTTTTTCAGCATCCTTAAAAGGTTCAGTATTTCACATGTGCGTCAGTTATGTGTGAAGTGCGTCACCTGTTTAAAGCATGACATGTCAAAATCTCCATGCCCATGGTGTGACATACATGTAATTACGTATTGACATTGCCATCGTCGAACTCAACTAGTTGCGCTTAAGTTAAGTAGGCCCTCTCTCACCGCAAAGTTCTTTGTGCCAGCTGCAGCTGCAGTGCCAGTTAAACTCACATTAGATGAAGATGGAGAAATGCATTATGAGCCCCTACTCCCTAGTGGCCGATAAACATTTCAATCGCTAGTTTTAACTGGTTAGATATTCCTGATAAAATCCAACTCCAAGTTGAATTTGAACTTTGAAGTTCAAAATTATGACAAAGTTATTTACAAATCCTGCTGATGTTTAGGCCACCTCACCACAATGGCCAATGCTATTTTTTTTTCCACCAATACTTTTAGTCTTGGTACTCTCAGTAATCAAATTAGCCACAAAAACTTGGTCTCAATTATTAATTAACACAAGAAAAAGGGAATCATGGCCTGGGGGACCAACAGGCACAGATTAGGCATTGTTTGCTATATAGAGGGCGCAAGTAGCTATAAGTAGTGCAGTGGGGCTTTAATTAGGACATTTTTTTTTTTCATGATAGGGAGCGATTTTGGCGCTTGTTCTGAACTGTGACCATACTTTGGACCCTTGACTTTGGCATGGAAATTCCTTACTATAACACACCAAAAGTCAACTAAGTCTTCCACAATATTGTTCAAATAACGGTCATGATTTAAAAGTTGTTATCTTTCTCACCTGTTTCATGTCAATTTTATTATCTTTTTTGGAGTATTTTTCCTAAAAACGAAGACATTATAATGACACTTTCTCCCAGGTTTTACTGCAAACATCCGCACTGGTCCCTGCCCTGGAGTCACTGCCCTGGAGTCACTGGTCCAAAGTGTGGTCACAGTTCTGAACAAACACCATGATTTTGTGGTGGTTTAAGTGAAATGATGTTTCATATGAATGTGTACTTACTGATTGTTATTCAATTTTCTTTACTGGTAATCGGTGCTATTTGCCAGTAAGATTTATTTATGAAGTGGCACATCCGGGGAGGTTAACTCACTCAATGAAGAAAATCAAAGTCCATGACAAAATAAATATATTTCAAAAGATGGTTTCTTTTTTCTGCAAAATACAGAGCATGATGAACAGATGAACTTCCAGCAAATGAAATCAAGAAGAATGTAAAATCTGCCTCTTAGAAAGATCTAAGAAGGACTTGCAAATTAGTTAGAAATTATATTTACTTTGTGCTAGTGAATGAAGATAGGTAGAACATCAACCCTGTAGCCACGTTTTGCCCTTCCTTTCTCATGTCTAAAAGTGCCGCAAGAAGACACCAAAAATAGCTTGTCACTCTGACAGTGCATCAGATTACTCCATGATGCCATACATGCCCATGTTAAAGGAGCTTTATTAATTTGTTGCAAATTTCATTTCCAGAGCTGTGTTTGTCTGCCTGCTCTCCTCGTAACTTACAAAATCCCATACACCGGTACTCTCTCTCTCTCTCTATTTCTCTATCTTTTTCCCTGAATAGTGCAAAGAGGCATTACTAAGCCGTTATAATTACCAATCATAACCAATGTGTTTGTTCTTTTTCTTACCTGACAGCTATTGGTAGACTATGTGAGAAGTGCGATGGAAAGTGTGTGATCTGTGATTCTTACGTGAGACCATGCACATTGGTGAGAATCTGTGATGAGTGTAACTATGGTTCCTACCAGGGCAGATGTGTTATCTGTGGAGGACCAGGTGTATCAGATGCTTACTACTGCAAAGAGTGTACTATACAGGAGAAAGATGTAAGTACAACCAAGCATACATGTACATGTAAATCTTATTGCTAGAGATAGTTCACCAGTCACCAGGCACTGATTCTAATTCAACACTTACACACAATCACATAAAGTTTTTAGCAGAGCCTAGCTCTGTCAGTCTGGCTGTGGAGCAGCTTCATTACACAGTCCGCATACAGGGTGCACTAGACTGCAGTCAGCATAGCCTCTAGTCTTAGTTCAGACACTCTGAATCACAAATGACTAGGGGTTTGTGCCTGTCAACTATTAGTTCTCAGTGTTGAAGGAATTAAAAGACATTCTCTCTAATTCTTTTTTCGGGTATAAAACAAAACCGTACAAATGTTAATATTGATCTGTTTTATCTATAAGGCTGTTCACACCGCAATGAGATAGCGCGGTCTATCGTAGCACCCCCTTTTTTCTAGCGCGCGCTAGACCGCGCTATCTCTCGTGGACCACCCCCAAGAGGTGCTCCAGTGGCACGCCGTTTTGGCTCGCCGTGGCTCGCTGTTGGGCGGACCGAAACGACGTTGTACCTTCCAAACCGCAGGGATAGCGCGGTCTAGCGCGCGCTATCTCTGCCGGTGTGAACAGCCTCATTGTCACATATTGGTACCGTCTATCACAACTTTGTTGCTTGATAGTGGATTTTTGTTCAAATATTAGTTAAACAAGCTGACAAGAACAAGAAGCATTTCATGACATGCTCTTGTTGTTGAAAATGGATTTTTTTTTTTTTCTCTCTTTCTCTCTCACACACTAAATGGTTCTGCTTTTAATATTACATGATAGATATGAATCTAATCAACAGTGCATATTTTAAGGATGTTGGGAAATGTTACGAAAATGCCACATCCATGAAACACTAGAATCCAATAAATATGGTTATGAATAACTTATGATGTCATTCTGGTATATCACACACAATCGATGTCATCAAGATGAAACATTTAACACTTTATTGATTGTAACCTGAGGTTTATCCCTACAAAACCTATTTATTTGTGTCACTGTTGAACCATGAAATTCATTTCAAATGACAACTTCTATGTTTTATTATTTCTACTTGTATTACAGAGAGATGGCTGCCCTAAGATTGTGAACCTAGGAAGCTCCAAGACAGATCTGTTCTATGAGAGAAAGAAATATGGATTCAAGAAGAGATGATGTGCGAGCAGATAAACCTTTGTAAATAATCTAAGTCTTGTAGCTATGTTGTTGATTATGATTATAGTTATGGGTAGTCTTGAGTCTTTGTGAGATGCTGATAAATAAGGTACAGTGATGATTATTCAGGAACTGTTTCTCATTGTCACTCATTGAACTTCTCATCCTGGACTCAATCCTACCTAACCCTAACCCTTACTGAGACCTTATTGCAAGCCGAGCCCAAATAGCCGGACAGGCCTTATCTCATATACTTCAACACATACTAAACACCTTTCAGGCCATTCAAAAGACAATATGTATTGAAAGTAAACCCTAGAACAAATATCAGATCACCAAATAAATGTGCTCTTCATGGAGGGATTTTCAACCCAGATGGCAGTTCACATGTGATATATTTTCTAGGTACAGTGAAGCCTGTCTAAAAAGACCACCCAAGGAAAGTGGTCTTTCTAGGCAGGTGGTCTTTATGTACAGGTTCCTTTGGTACATGTTTCAATGAGAAACCATTTTTTAAGGGAAACAAAACATGTGGTCCACCTATACAGGTGGTCACTAAAGCAGGTTTGACTGTATATGATAGGAAGTGAACCTTTCGCACTTATCATCACCTCTTTTACATACGTGTATCTTCTCATTTTTTCTGGGAAAGGTATGTTTGATTTTATATTTTTTCTAAAGTTCTTTGTTGTTGTTATAATTTTGACATTCTGTACCAAAACAATTCCCAATTTCAACCCACATCTGAGTAAGGAATGAGACTTGGGAGTTATCTCTGAATGTGTTTAGGAGGAATTGAATTAAACTGATTTGTCTGATTTTCAATGACTGCATGTTTGTTAATCACCCAGAACGGTGTATTGTGGTTTAAATTAAAAAAGAAATGAGATTTGTTACCCGCTCAGTCACTTGCTAGAAAGTTAAATTCACTTGGATCCCCCAATCAGATCTTCCAATCAGATCTTCCATTTGGTTTGGGTCTTCATGTCTGATGAGATAGGGATCAATCATGTTTGTATTGAGTGTTATATGCTGCCCTCTTTTGACAATATAGAGTACAACATATACAGTACACGCCGAAAATCTCCGCAACACGATTTACACGATTCAAAATTTACACGATTCGACTGCTCGCGGGAATCGTGTAACTATTATTTTTACACGATTCGTTTTTTGCCAATGAAGCGAAATTTGAATCGTGTAAACGTGTAATCGTGTAAAATTACACGATTCCTCAATTCAGGTCGAATCGTGTAATCGTGTAATCTGCCCGCCGAAAATCTCCGCAACACGATTACACGATTCAAAATTTACACGATTCGATTGCTCGCTGGAATTGTGTTACAATTTATTTTCAGTGGTGATGGTGAGCAGGTTAAGGACGTCTAGTTCAGTAAAAGCAAGAAGTTACTTCTTGGTTGAACGAGGACAACGTGGACGATACGAGGGGATAGCGAAGATTACGCTTTCTTTCTCTTGTATATATTTTTAATTGCAGTGTCTTGTCTCTAGTTTTATTATAGAATGTTTGAAAGTTAAAAAAATCAGTCCACTTCCCGAAAAGCACTCTCGGATTTAATCCTCGGTGAGAAAAAAGAAAAAAGCGATGAACGACGAAGGAAGGGGGGAATTTTGTTATTACTAAGTTGTAAATAAGTAAAAATGATTACAAAATGTAAAGGAGGGCTAACATAATTAAGTATGTTGTGATACTCTTACATTACAAGGCTGTACCAATTAGAATTACGGTTCACCAGCTCATTCGTTACTATGAATATCGTTATACTTTTTTTTATTCAATCATTATCCATTTTACAAACCTGGTTTGTAAAAACGCGTCATATGACGCACGAAAACCAAGGTTTGTCGACAAAACCTCCTTTGTGAATTCGGGCCTTAGACTTTGATCACTTATTGCTTTTTTAGCGTTCCTCATTTTCGTAAATTACCTTTTACAACATTGCATTATTCAGCTATATGTATAAAGAGCTACGGTCAAGGCTTAAGGGCACACTTCCTGTCACATACAAAAGAAGCTTACTCTGAATGTGGCCTGCCATTGACCCTCGCCGGGGACAAAGGCCGTTGCCCTAGCTACAGGCAGAGATCCTTACATAATACCTATTGTTCAGGGGGTTCCCCTTGAACATAGGATCCCCCTGAACAATAGGTATTACATGTATGTAAGTATGTAAGCCACTGGCTACAGAGTGTAGGGAACAGTTGCAAGCCGAGAATGAATAGAATAAGTGAATGGCCAACTGTCTTTGAGTTACGTTTAGCTAGCGGCACAGTGTCCCCCCACTTTTTCAAGTTCCCCCAAAGTGCCCCTTTGTATGTAGGAAAAGTACCTATTTTACTTTGACAAGTGTCCATATTAATTTGTAAGTGCCCCTTCCCCTTTTCAACTCTGACAAGTGCTCCTTTTCTTTTGACACACACCCCTTTTCCTTCGACGAGTTCCTATTTTCCTTTACAATAAGTGTCCATTTTCCATTCTCATTAGTGTCCTTTTAATCTCTAGTAAGTATCCCTCTTTAAGTACGAGAAGTACCCCTCTTCACTTTTGATAAATGCCCTCATCAACTCCGATAAATGCCCCTATTAAAATCTGATCGGTACCCCTTTTCTTTCAACTAAAGCTTTTTTTATCTCTCTCTCTCTCTCTCTCTCTCACTCTCTCTCTTTCTTTCAATATCTTTCCATTCCCCCATATCTTTCTCGCCTCTCTTTCCCTCATTATGTTCCCCTCTTACCTTATTAATTTGTCTCTTTTCCTCTCCGTTTCACAGCCTTCTCATTTCTGTTAATTTTACTAGGTTTCGCCCTTCTTTTTTTTTATCACTCTATTTCACTCTTTCTTTTCTTCCGGTCAACTTTTTAGTTTTCCCTTTTTTCTCTCTTTTTTTCTGTTTATCTTTATCGTGCCTTTCAACCCTCATTTTCCTTTGATATGTTCCCTTTTCCTCGTAGCTATCTTTGTTCCTTTACTATTTCATCTATCATGTCTTCCTGTTTCTGACGTTTTCCTACCTTGTCTCACGGATTAGTATACGATACATGTTAGTGGAAAGTGCTGAGGTTTATACACGAATATTAAGTACAGTAATTAACTGATGTACACTGAAGGTAAGTTGTGTATAAAGCAATTGGTGTCAGCAGGATAAGATTTAACGATTGTTGCAGCTTGTCGCATCGTTCTACCAATGCCCTTATAACCCTAATAACTATTTACACGATTACACGATTCAGAGCGACATTCTTCAATCGTGTAAATTTACACGATTACACAGTTACACGATTGTTACATCTGGTCGAATCATCCGACCAATGCACTTAACTATTTACACGATTACACGATTCAGAGCGACATTCTTCAATCGTGTAAATTTACACGATTACACAGTTACACGATTCAGGTGAATCGTGTAAACCGTGTAATCCTAAAAATAAATCGTGTAATCGTGTTGCGGAGATTTTCGGCGTGTACTGTAGGCTAAACTTTACATTTGTTGTGGATCCCTTTTAAATATTTTTGCTTTAATGGATTATAACGGTAATTGTCATTAAGCTAGGATTAATGAAGGTCTTGGAATATAGGGATTATATGGCATCAAGTGTCCACTCTTTATGAGGTGAATAAGGCATCAGTTACAATGAAAACCTGCCACTTGAGGAAAAACATACTTCTTTAAAACCAGAAATTCTTGTCGCTAGCATGGCATGTTCTTAAATTTTGGAATGTTTCGTGTCGCAATACTTTCTGGTTTTGCAGTAGTACTGTGAAGGTCTTTTGGGGAAATGTTGACATGATTTATTATATTGTTATTGTTATTACATTCAGTTACTCATACCCTGAGCCCTGTAGATGGTTATCTTGACCCCCCCCCCCCCCCCCCCCCCCCCCCGTCCAGACTTTATAAAGTGTAATTTAAAAATGAGATTAAGTATATGAATTTGAATTTTTCAGCATAAATGGTCATCAATGGCCCACTTTTAGAAGGAAGAATACCTTTATAACATTTAAAGAAAGGAAAGTTATGGTACTTCATCCTCTCATTTATTCATGAATCTCTGTTGGATGTTCACACCTGTACATGTATTTGTAAGAAACGTTGCAAGCTTGTTCCAGCGTAATTCAATTATGTCTATCCCGGGAGTTACATTTATTTGTATCCATGTGTGTCATCAAGAAAAGGGACATGTGCTTATAGCAAGAGAGGAATGATCATATTGTTTAAAAGGCTATACCTGTGATTCCATGTATTTTTTTATTCATCTTTGCCTGTTTTGAAATTTCATTCATGTTCCTTTTATCATGATTATGTTAAATTTAATTGATTCCAAGTAATATTATTTTTAACATTCAGAACTTATTATGCTTTCAGCTGTTCATTGTTTCACACACTCATGATCCATAACTAAAGATGAAAAATCTTGTTTTCTGTCTTGTACATTTTTAATAAAAGCACTGGAAATGACATGATGTTCTATATATTTTTAATGTATGTCAAAGTTGCTCGTCATGTTTCTATCCTATTTTCTGCTCATTTGAAAACACACACATTCTGTCACTTTGTCTACCACTCATAACATCTGTCCATCTTTCTTCGTACTGTTTCCCCTTTCTGTCATTTTCCCTCTCTCTCTCTCTCTCTCTCTCTCAACTTACTGACTAAGCTGTTTTTAAAAGAACAACAACAATACACTGAAAAACGGTGGGAAAGAGGAGAAAGAAAAAGAGAGAGATAGATGAGTGAAAGAAAAAAAAGGAAAAAAGACTGGGACAGAGACAGAGAGAGAGTGAGGTGGAGACAGACAGACAGACAGAGGAAGAGAAAGAAGAAGAGGGGTGGAGAGAGACGGACAGAGAGAGACAGACAGATGAAGAGAAAGAGTGAGGTGGAGAGAGACAGATGAGGAAGATAAAGAAAGGGAGAGAGAAACAGACAGAGGAAGATAAAGGAAGAGAGGGAGGTGGAGAGAGACAGAAAGAGAGGAGGGTGAAGAGAGACAGAGGAAGAAAGAGAGGGAGGTGGAGAGAGACAGACAGACGGAGGAAGAGAG